TGAGCCTGTGGGTTCGAGACCCGCCTGGGCAACTTGGCGAGACCTCATCTCTACAAGAAATCAAAAAATTAGCCGGGTGTGGTAACATGCGCCTGTATTTCCAGCTACTTGGAAGGCTGAGGCGGAAGGATCACCGGAGCCCAGCAGGTTGAGGCTGCGGTACCCAGGAGCGTGCCACACTGCACTCCAGTCTGGGTGACAGAGTGAGACTCCAACTCAAAAAAGTAAAAAATAAAAACCAAGGTGTTTTAGTCCAGGTGCGTTGGCTCATACCTGTAATCCTAGCATTTTGGAAGGCCGAGGTGGGAGAATTGCTTGAGCCCAGGAGTTCGAGACCAGCCTGTGCAACATAGTGAGACCTCATCTCTAAAAATATATATATATATATTTTAAATTAGTGGTTGTGGTGGCACGTACCTGTAGTTCCAGCTATTTGAGAAGCTGAGGCAGAAGGATCGCCTGAACCCAGGAGGTCAAGGCAAAATTGAGCCATGCTTGTGTCATTGCACTCAAGTCTGGTGGCAGAGTAAGACTCCAACTCAAAAAAAAAAAAAAAAAAACCAGGCTGTTTTAAATGAAAGACAACCAATATTCTAGTGGGCACATCTGGTTTAGGACATGCGGCTTAATGTCTTGCACCAAATTATTTATCTTTGAGCCTGAGTTTAGTTTCCTTATTATAAAATGAGAATAGAAACACCTTATGTAGTTATGAAATTTTAAAATTATTCACTAACTTAGCAAACATTTATTGAGGGCCTCCTGTGTACCAGGTAAGGCTAGTGTATTTGATGGTATTTCTTTTTTTTTTTTTTTGAGTTGGAGTCTCACTCTATCACCCAGACTGGAGTGCAGTGGCTGCTCCCAGCCACCGCAGCCTCAACCTGCTGGACTCCCACGATCCTTCCTCCTCAGTCTTCCAAGTAGCTGGAACTACAGGCGCGCACTACCACACCCGGCTCATTTTTGATTTATTGTGGAGATGAGGTCTCGCCAAGTTGCCCAGGCGGGTCTTGAACCCGCAGGCTCAGGCAATCCTCTCACCTCAACCTCCCAAAGGCGCGGGATTACAGGCTGAGCCACCGAGCCCTGCTTGATGGTATTCTATGAACTGGGAAGCTTTATGTATGGAAGTTAACTATGAGAATACTACAAAAAGAAATGTGTGTCTCTCTGTGTCTCCTTCTGCCCACTGTAGTGATATCTCTGAGTCTCTTCTCGATAAGTGCCTCTATACTAACCACTCTCCTCATCCCGACATCTTGATACGGACTTCTGGGGAAGTGCGGCTGAGTGACTTCTTGCTCTGGCAGGTAGGTAGTTTCCAGGCACCATTATGTTTATGTCAGGCTGAAAATGGCAGCTGCATCCACAGAAGGGATTAGAGTGGTTCATCCCCACTCACAGACATGCTGGGGCCAGAGAAATTGGGAGGAAAGCTAAAATCTGTAGAAGCATCTCCAGGCTATCCCTGGTAACATTTGCTATCCCTTCTTCATCTGTCCCTGTCTTTGTGAACCTCTATGATTCTTTCTCTCCAAAGTGCAAGGCATCTAGCCTAGAGGGAAAATCAAGGCCATCCAACTGTAGTGAAAATTTCACTTGTGCCCCTGTCCAAAGAAGGGGACTTCTCTGCCTTGCATCCCTGAGCATAAGTCTGCCTTGGTAATCTGTACCAAGGTAGACCTTGGATTAGAACATTGTCTTACAGTTACTAGTCTCTTTCCTTCAAAATAAAAGGCAACATCTATGCAAGCATGGTCCATGAGGAATATAAACTGTATGCAAAAATCTCTCTTAGGGGTTTGGTGTTACTTCTCAGTTTAGTTACTCTAGCATAGGTATCCATTTAAGTTGTTTTGTTTTGTTTGTTTTGTTTTGTTTTGAGTTGGAGTCTCACTCTGTCGCCCAGACTGGAGTGCAGTGGCCACTCCCGGCCACCTCAGCCTCGACCTGCTGGGCTCTGGCGATCCTTCCATCTCAGCCTTCCAAGTAGCTGGAACTACAGGCGCGCACTACCACGTCTGTCTGATTTTTTTATTTAGTAGAGATGAGGTCTTGCAAGATGCCCAGGCAGATCTCGAACCCACGGGCTCAAGCAATCCACTCGTCTCAGCCTCCCAAAGTGCTGGGATTACAGGCTGAGCCACCGAGCCTGGCCCATTTAAGTTTATTTTTTTTAAGTTGAGAAAGAAAAATTTATTGAGAAGGACAGAAAGGGTCCCACAGTGGGAGGGGACCTGAGGGGGTTGCCTAAGTTTGTTTTTGCTTGAAAATCTCCATCCTTTGTTAACTTATCTTCTAGATAGCACATGACTAGGAGAAGTCCTTGTCTTAGGAGAGGTTAGAGGGAGAGACTCAGTTTAGAAGCAGCTCACGTAATAAAGTTCTAGGAATTTTAATGGACCACAGTCTTTTTTTTTTTTTTTTTTTTTGAGTTGGAGTCTCACTGTGTCGCTCAGGTTGGAGTGCAGTGGCATGCTCACAGCCACCACAGCCTCGACCTGCTGGGCTTAGGCGATCCTTCCACCTCAGCCTTCCAAGTAGCTAGAACTACAGACGTACACCAACCCGCCTGGCTAATTTTTTTGTGATTTATTGTAGAGACAAAGTCTTACCACGTTGCCCAGTCTGGTCTCAAACCCCCAGACTGAGGCAATCCTCTCGCCTCGGCCTCCCAAAGTGCTGGGATTATAGGCTAAGCCACCACGCCTAGCCAACACCACAGTGTTTTTTTTTTGTTTGTTTGTGTTTTTTGAGTTGGAGTCTCACTCGGTCACCCAGACTGGAGTGCAGTGGCCGCTCCCGGCCACCTCAACCTCGCCTGCTGGGCTCCGGCAATCCTTCCACCTCAGCCTTCTGAGTAGCCGGAATTACAGGCATGCACTACCACGCCCGGCTGATTTTTTGATTTATTGTGGAGATGAGGTCTCACTGCCCAGGTGAGTCTCAAACCTGCGGGCTCAGGCAATCCACTCACCTCAGCCTTCCAAAGGCACGGGATTACAGGCTGAGCCACCGAGCTGGCAACACCACAGTCTTAAAAGTGAACTAACTATTAGCTACTAAAGATACTTTTTGGTCTTTGGCTACAGTGAAAGAACTATCATGTGCACCTGTTGGTTCTATGATTCACTGTGCTGCCCAGATCACATTGGGGTGGGAAGTTTATTTCTGGGCACTGAGTTTTAAGAGACTACATTAGTAAATTAGTGACTTACTAGAAGAGGCCAACCTAGTAGCAAGGAATCTTATGTCTTACAAGGAATCAATAAAGAAAAGTGGTCTGGAAAAGGGAAACAAATGATAGTGTATTCCCTCGGCAAAAAATGTTGAATTTCTTCTTTATGCTGGAAATACAGCAGTAACCAAGTCAGAAATCATCCCTACTATCTTGAAACTTATAGTTTGTTGGCAAAGACAAACTTTGATCAGTCATCCGAACCTTAGGAACAGGTAATAGGCAGCTCTGATCTAGCCTTCAACTATTTGAAAGAATGTCACGCTAAAGAAGAAACAAACTTGTTTCAGAGAAAATACCTGGGACCTTGACAGAAATTGCAAGGAGGGTGATATGGGTTTAGCATAACAAGCTGTATGACACCTGTTATACCCCAGGAGGCATTCAGTTCCTCACCACTAAAGATATTAAGCAGTGGCTGTCAAGAATGTTCCAAAAGGGATCCTTCATCACTGATTATTATTAAAGTTCACCTGGCTTTGTGCTGTACTTTATGTGTTTTATCTCATTTAGTCTTCTTAATATCCTAAAAATTAGGTATTCTTACCCAGTTTTACATATAAGGAAACTGAGGCCCAGGGGCATTAAATAACTTACCCCAGCTCAAATAAATGGTAAAAGATTGGAATAGGAATTCAAAGCCAGTATGGCTCCAGAGCCTATGCTGTTAACACTGTGTCATACTGCTATTACTTAAAAAAAACAGTGGCAACTAACATTTGTTCATTACTGACTTTTATCAGACAGTGTGTCTCCCAGATGACCTCTGAGGGCCAAGAGCCAATAACATAATTCGAATGTTATTTCACAGTCCTAAAATTGGCTCTGAGAAAAATCCTGGTGGAAATGTTGATCTAGTCTCGTTTTAGTTCTGCTTTGCCACAGGCAGGTGATCTAACTGCCTCAAGTGACCCCTCCCCCCATCAGTGAGTGAATCAGGACTGGCAGCAGCTAACTGCAGCTGCAGCTCAGAATGCGTGTGCCATCTTAACTCTGGGCTTCTGGGTCCTGCTCAGCCTGTTCCTCCTTTGGAGCACTGACCAGGGATGTGGCCTAGCAACATGTCACTAAATTATCCTCTCTTCTTCCCCTACCTTCCTCAGACCTCCCACTCCTGCTTGGTGTTTCAACCTGTTCTGTGGCCGGAGTACACATTTTGGAACCTCTTTGAGGCCATCCTGCAGTATCAGATGAACCATAGTATGCTTCAGGTAAGAGTTCAGGGCTGGTCTGACTGGAAGGGTTGGAAGAAAAGGTTAGCATAGATTGACCATCTTACCGTATACCAAGCACTTCCTAATGACCACGTAGATGATGATAGCAGCTACCATTTACTGAGTATGTACTATGTGTCAGGCACTGTGAACATTTTACATGTAACATCTCATTTAATGCTTCCAAGAATCCAACGAGGGAGGTCTTACTAGCCTCCCTTTTGAAAGTTAGCCAATAGAAATGATTTAGTCAAGGACACGTAATCAAAAAGAGAAAGAAGCAGGGCTTAAGCTACAAGTCTTTTATCTTTTAAAGACCCAGGAAAATAATTCTCAAAGAGATTGGCCATCATTCCCTGAAGGTATTAGCCTAATAAAAGATTGCAGCAGTAGAGACATACAAGATCTCAAGCCTCTTCTAGAGAGATTAGGAACAAAATGGCATTGTTTGTTCCATTATATAAAACTATGTTATGCTGAAATTCTGCTTTCAATTTTTATCACTGAATGTCTGGACAGATTTCATTAGCAGGCAGAGTCACCTGCATCTGATTAGAGCTCTTAGTAATAATGGTGGTGTAGGTGTTGGTGACTAACATATTAAGGGTCTACTTGGTGCTTAGATGGGTTTTTTTTCTTTTTGAGTTGGAGTTTCACTCTGTTGTCCAGGCTGGAGTACAGTGACATGGTCACAGCCACCACAGCCTCAACCTGCTGGACTCGGGTGATCCTTCCACCTCAGCCTTCCAAGTAGCTGATACTACAGGCATGCACCATCACGTCCAGCTATATGTTTTTAATTTATGTAGAGATGAGGGCTTGCCAAGTTGCCCAGGCTGGTCTCGAACCCATGGGCTCAAGTAATCTTCCCACCTCAGCTTCCCAAAGGGCTGGGATTATAGGTGTGAGCCACTGTGCCTGGCTGCACTTAGGTGATTACATGTAAGTTTTGTTTTTGTGGGTTTTTTTTTTTTTTTGAGTTGGAGTCTCACTTTGTCACCCAGGCTGGAGTGCAGTGGCACAATCACAGCTACTGCAGCCTTGACTGCTGGGCTCAGGCGATCCTCCTGCCTCAGCTTTCCAAGTAGCTGGGACTACAGGTGCATGCCACCACACCTGGCCGATTTTTTAAAAAATTTATTGTGGATATGAGGTTTTGCTTTGTTGTCCAGACTGGTCTTGAACTCTTGGACTCAGGCAGTCTTCTCACCTCAGCCTCCCCAAGTGGTTGGATTACAGGCATGAGCCTCCATGCCCAGCCTAGTTTTTTTTTTTTTTTAATTTAACCCATCAATCCAACAGGTTTGGTATCCTCGTTTTTCAGATCTAAAACAGAGAGGCAGAGAGACTAACTAACTGTCCTAGGCTACATAACTAACTAGGAACGTGAATTTTTTTTCCCCTTATTTTGAGTCAGAGGTCTCTTTCTCTCTCTGTTGCCCAGGCTGGAGTGCAGTGCAACGATCATAGCTCACCACAGCCTTGACCTCCTGGGTTCAGGCAATCCTTCTGTATCAGCTCCCCAAGTAGCTGGGACTACAAGTACATACCACCATGCCTGGCTAACTTTTTTATTTTTTGTAAAGACAATATCTCAAACTCCTGACCTCAAGCAATCCTCCTGCTAGGCCTTCCAAAGTGCAGGATTACAAGCATAAGCCACTTCACCTGGCCTTTTTCCACTTTTATTTTAGATTCGGGGGTATAAGTGCATGTTTGTTACATAAACATGTGGGTAGTGGTGGGGATTGCGTCTCAGGTGGCCCATTCCCCCAGATAGTGAATATCATATCTAATAGGAACCTGAATTTTTAAATCAAAACTCATACTGCTTCTTGAGTCTGGAGAGACAATGCCAGGAGGAAATAATGATGTAAAATCAGGACTTCTCAATCACCTTGATATCAGGCCCTTTGGAGAATTTAATGAAAGCCATAGACTATCTCCCTAGAAAAATTTGAGATCACTCAAACACATGGAATTTTGTATAAAATTGCACTTATCACTGAAACACACAGAAATACTTTCAGGGGTTCACATAACTCCTGAAATCTGTCCATGAATCCCAAGTCCAGATCTCCTGATAGTCAATCAGATCACAAAGATTTGATCATGTGTTTGATCATTTAGTATCAAATATGAGGAAATCGAAAGAGAAAGTTTAGAAAAAGTGAAAAGAAAAGTGACAAAGGCTCAATTATCTACTGTCAGTGAGAAACAAATGTCACATTTTTTCACATGAAAACTCTAAAATCTAAAACTTTTTTTTACCTTTTTTTGATGGAAAACTTTCTGAAAGGTATCTTGTACATAATTCATTCATCCCACTATATACCAGCACTTTCTAATAATGACAATGATTAAAATAATAACTTTCCAGCCAGGCTCGGTGGCTCAGCCTGTAATTCCATGCTTTGGGAGGCTGAGGTGAGTAGATTGCCTGAGCCCGCGGGTTCGAGACCCGCCTGAGCAACTTGGCGAGACCTCATCTCTACAATAAATCAAAAAATTAGCCGGGCATGGTAGTGCGTGCCTGTAGTTCCAACTACTTGGAAGGCTGGGGTGGAAGGATCGCTGGAGCCCAGCAGGTCGAGGCTGCGGTGACCGGGAGCGGCCACTGCACTCCCGTCTGGGTGACAGAATGAGACTCCAACTCAAAAAAAAAAAAAAAAAAGAATTATATATATATGAAATGAAAGTAAATTGACTCTGCATGAAGCCCAGGGGAGTTTTTGTGTATGGATATTCATATTCTTAATCTCTAATTTGGCTGTTCCAGAAACCTTTTATAGTAATTTCAGGTTTCTCAGATACTTTGCTTATGGTTGTCAGAGGAGTTAACTCAAGTTTAATTCATTCCCTAAATATTTATTGAGTTCCTAGTATGAGTCAGACACAAGAAAGTCAGCAGTTGGCCAGCCAGATCAAATCTCTACCTTCATGGAGCTTCTATTTTTACTTAAGAAGACAGAAATAAATAAGTAAACAAATAAATAATTTCAGATTGTACTAAAGCAATGGAAAAACACACAGTGATGTACTAGGAAGTAATGTACGGTGATGGGGGGTGGGGGAGGCAAAAAAAAAGGAAGAAATATAGAGAGTGCAAGGAAACTGAGGTTATAAAGTTTGGGTCTTGAAAGAACAAAAAAAACGGCTAGCATGTCTGGGAGAAGGGCATGAGATGAGTGAGGGGTAGGAGTCAGGACTTGTATCATACAGTGCTTTGTAGGCTGTGGTAACAAAGCTGAAGGACTTTGTTTTTTATTTATTTATTTATTTATTTTTGACTTGGAGTCTCACTCTGTTGCCCAGGCTGGAGTGCAATAGAATGCCCCTGGCCACTGCAGCCTCAACCTGCTGGGCTCAGGCGATCCTTCTGCCTCAGCTTTCCAACTAGCCGGAACTACAGGCATGCACTCCCACGCCCAGCTAATTTTTTGATTTATTGTAGAGACGAGGTCTCACCATGTTGCCCAGGCTGGTCTCGAACCTGTGGGCTCAGACAATCGATTATAGGCTTGAACCACTGTGCCTGGCCGCTGAAAGATTTTAATCAGGGGATGACAGGATCTGATTTGCATTTTGTAAAAAATCACTCAGGATTTTCTGCTGGCAGGAGTCAAAGCCAAGAGATGGACCTCCTGCAGTAGTACTGGTAAGAGAGAATGTGCCTTGAGGTAGGGTGATGGCCATAGAAAAGGAGAGGATTTAAAATGGGGAATAAAAACAAACATTAAAACAGAAACAAAGCTGGGCTCAGTGGCTCATCCTGTAATCCCAACACTTTGGGATGCCGAGGCGAGTAGACTGCCTGAGCCCACGTGTTTGAGACCAGCCCGGGCAACTTGGCGAGGCTTCATCTCTACAATAAATAAAAAATAAGCTGGTAGTGGTAGCGTGTGCCTGTAGTTCTGGCTACTTGGAAGGCTGAGGCAGAAGGATTGCCAGAGCCCAGCATGTCGATGCTGGGGTGGCCATGAGTGTGTCACTGCACTCCAGCCTGGGCGACAGAGTGAGACTCCAATTCAAAAAAAAAAACAAACCAGAAACAAAAGAGCCAGGCGAGGTGGCTCATGCCTGTAATCCCAGCACTTTGGAAGGTGAAAGCAAGAGAATTTCCTGAGCCCAGGGGTTCAAGACCAGCCTGGGCAACTTGGCAAGACCTCGTCTCTATAGTAAATCAAAAAAATTAGCCAGGCATGGTGCTGTGCACCTGTGGTTCCAGCTACTTGGAAGGCTGGGGTAGAAGGATCACCTGAGCCCAGCAAGTCGAGGCTGCTGTAGCCGTGAGTGTGCCACGGCTGGGCGACAGAGTGAGACTCTGACTCAAAAAATAAATAAACAGAAACAAATGAACTAATGACATCGAGATGATAACATAACCCCCTTAAGAAAGGATTTCATTCAAGTTACCTAAACACTGAATGGTTTCTGACTATTCATCTCTAGTGGAATATCTTCTCGGGATAATACAAACTGGAAAGCAAACTTAAACATTACTCATGAGCTTTATTGTTAGTGGCAATGTTGATATTGCAATTTTAAAACTGTTTCTCATAGTATAAAGCAAATAAATTTAAATATTAACATTTTTTAGGAACCAAGACATGTCGCTTGTGGCCTAAACAATCAGGTGAATGGTTCTGTTTTTTCCTGGGATGGGATAGAACGTATCTGAAGACAGCTATTAAGAGTTCCATTTTGTGCCTATGAATCATATACTGAACTCTTAATACATGTCAGGCATCTTTTCCATAGATCCTGTGAAGTGCTCTAAGGTACTATTATTACCCTGTTTTTAGAGTGAGGAAACCAAAATTATAATAGAAATATTGACTATTCTGAAGTCTTGTCCAGCAGGGCCCCTTGGGTGTCCTGGCCAGCCTTTCTCTACCCAGGAACCCTTAAAGCTGTATTTCTAGAAGCAGAAGCACTAAGGGGAGAATCCAGACTAACAACATCCTTACCTGTCTGTCCTCAGACCAGAGAGATCC